TTTAAATATTCTATTTTTATATCTGGATTATTTGTTGAAATAAATATTACTCACTATCAGTTTTTACAATATATTATACTATTTTGTAAATATAGAATAAATTATTCAAATTTAAAAGCATGCAAAATCTTTTTTATACTATAATATAGTATATTTTGTAAATATGAAGTAAATTGATATTTTCTGATTCAATGTATAACAAATTTAACTTTATGTTTCAATTTAACTTTTATTGAATTTAAAATAACACTAATAAAAGATATAATTAAGCTATGAAAATTTATTTCTCCTGAATATTCAATAGTTCTAGATTATGGTTTTTTTTATAAATTTGTTAAATCATTATATACTATTTTTATCCTCTCATATTTTTTATTAATTTAATTTCTTGCCTATTTTATTTCTTTATTTTAAATTACATTCTGATTCTTTTTTTCATTTAGTCTAACTTATGTTAAACTTTTTCTAAGTATAAATATCACAAAAAATATCGAAAAATTTTAGGAAATTACTGCAACTTCCATTATTCATTCGAATTGATTAATTAGAAAAGTAAGTTTAACAAATAATTTGAATCAATGTAAAGAAGTCTATTTATGTTAAGATTAAATGAATATAAATAAATTAAAGTTGCATTATATATTTTAAGTTAATGTTGTTATAAAGCTAAGATGATCATTATTATTGAAAATTATTAAAGATATTTAAAACCTTTATTAAATATGATGGTAATTTATTTTGACAAACTTAACCTCTAAACGCAATACTACTAAACTTATAATTTGTAAGTAATTTGATATTTGAGTTACAATTTTAGAAAGAAGAAACATATATTTTTTTGTTTCTAATATATCAACAATTTATAATAATTCTGTTAAAATAAATGTTTGTGATTTATTAAGAAATTAATCATTTTACAAAATCTTAGAGCACTCTCTGATATTTTTATCATTCCTTAAGAAATAAATTTTGAAATTCCATTTTGTAATTTATTTTATAAGATATTCAAAAAATTCAAGTCTCTTCATTTTAATTATAAAAATAAATTTATCCGAATTATTTTACCCTTGTAGAGTGTATATCTGCCTTGAATGGAGGGAGAACCTAGCTATTGTAGGGCCAGGGAATCCTGAAAGCCCTTCAAACATGGTGGGAAGGGATATGAGGTTTTTAGGAATGATATCGAGATGTTATAATCCATAATTGGAGACCCTAGCTCTCCTTTTTTCGAGAATAGGAGGACATATTTAGTAACTCTACTTATTTACAGTTTTGTACCTCTTTTATAATGCTGGGTTGCAAGCTTTTCCATTCCATACTTATTAAGTAAGGGTGTAATTAAAATCACTAAAATTAATGTTTTATAATAATGAAGATATAATGATTTCAGGTAGTTTATATAATAAAATGAGTTTTTTTGAAGTAAATCCCTTTAATCGAGTATTTTTAATAAGCCAAAATGAAAAATATTGATTTCTAGTTCAAAAAATAAACAAAATTTAGTTTTATAATATTCATGTTAAGAGAGAGAATCTGTTTGGAATGTATTCCAAATGACTTTATATGAAAATTTATAATTCTAAATAAAAAAGTGTAAAAATATCAAAATCAATTTTTTCAAATATATTATATGATTGTTTAATATTTATTTTCATAATTTAGTATATAACGCATGCTCATAAATTATATCATAAAAGGTAATTTCTTAATTATTAATTAACAAAAACGAATAATTAATGGAATCTTTGTAATGTTTTCAAATTAGATTAATAAAAAACGGATGAAATTAAGAAGATAATATTTTTTAATTTTTGTAATGCTCAAATTCACTGTCAAATTAAAGGAGATGTATGATAAATTTATAAAAATGATAATCATAAGAGAGCCTTTAAAGGAGACAGATGAATGTTAAAGACATGTAGTATACTGTATAAATGTTTATTCCAATCTAGCAAAAAGATTTTTATGATATTCCCTCAGTTCCTAAATTTTAGTCTAAAGAGATGATAGAGAATAAGACCTCCTTCTTTCTTTATTTTTAATAAATATGATATTATATTAATTGATTAAATTAATTATTAAAATTTATAATATTCATAATTCATAATTATCTTCATCATCTTGACTATCTTAATTTCTTTTTGAATACACATTATATAGTAGTAAGGATATCACAAGTACAATCAAAGTAATTCCAAACAAAACATAAAAGGAAGTTGTTTTAAATATATGTTATTTTATAAATACTAAATTAATTTCAGCCTCTGCAGAGTTGAAATAATTTTAAGCATATAATTCATAATAGTCTAAATTTTCTCTTTATGCAGATAAAGTAATATTTATAGAAAAAATATTTAATTAAAGTTCTAAAATGCTACCATTAGTAAATAGGAGTAACATTTATCCAAATGAATTATTTCGAGCTATAAATGAAAAAGCACTAAGAAAAGTATTATTTAATGTAAAATTATATCCACCTTGAAAAAAGAGTGGAGTTAAGTAATTAACATTTTATTTATTGGAAATATTGTAAAAGGTAATCATATATGTTTAATTTGATAAATTGATTGATTAAGAATACATAAATAACAATAATCCTTATTCATATTGTGGTAATTATGTGATATTAAAATTATGTTTATCAAATGGTGGAGATGTTTATAAAAAACTTTAGAAAATTAAATGACTATCTATGAAGTTTGATTTATTGATAACCATAAGAAATGAAATAGCTAAAATAAAATTAGAATTAGAGACCATAATAATTATTTCTTTTTTCTTTTAATAAACCATAGGTATAGTATTAAATGACAGATATTGTTATGTATATGTTTTAAAAAGAAATGATTTCTCATCTGAACGATTAAATGTTTAATTTTACCCAACTTTTGCAAATCTGTAATATAATTGATCTTTATGAATTGGCTTAAAATAAAAATAAATTATTATTTAAGTACCATCATTCTCTTGTATTTAAATACTCTAGAATCCAAATTAAGTACTTTTACAAATAAATTAACCAAAATCTTAAGATCCATTCTTTTATTGATCTTAATTAATAGAATACATAAAGATGGTGTTATTCCAAATATAAAGCTGATTATTTTTAATTCTAATCCAAGAATTATTACTATAAGATAAATTTGCTAAAGTCAAAATTATTTTGGATTCTAAATAAGAGTTATTAATTTTATTTGATAAATTCATACTAATAATATAATTTTTTGATTGATTATCTTGACATAAAGAATAAATTTAGAAATTATAAGCAGTTGAGGAAATACATTTTTTATATGGACCAAAGTAGTATTTATTTCCATTTGTGTAATTTAGGATACTAGAATTATTCATAAGCAGAAATGTAGTATCATTATATTAAATAATTAAATCAAAAATGATTGAACTATTAGTTTACTTAAAATAATTAATATAATTAGTCAATGTATAATTATTCTAATTTTTACTTTTTTTATTCATATTAAATTATAACACTTAACCTTAAATTGAAATATTATTTCTAAAAAGTTCAATATAGGATTAAGATTAATTTACATCAAATTTAGTTTTATTTATTTAAATTTATTGATAATTATTTATTATAGTTACTGAATTATTTTAAAAATAAATTTTATTTTTCTCATAAAGTTATGAACAAATTGTAAAATTAAAGATTTATTCTGAAAGGAAATCTGAATGTATACTTGAATTAAAAAATGTTTATAGTAAAACAGATGAAAATTAAAAGAAACTCTAATTAAAATAAAGAAGAGTCATACTATCTGTTGAAGTGCTTGTGAAATAGATACCATCAATATTTATTCGATAATAGAGACTTGAATGTTCAGATAAAGTTGGATTAAAAACATTCACAATTAACCCTATTTATACATAAAAAAACTAATTATCAGAGTAATAGGATATTGTATCTTTATTCAATTCAAAAATTAAAGATCTCATATATCTTAGAAATTAAGGTTTTTTCCATTTTTTAACATCCCAAACTTCAAATTGAACATCTTTCGACTCTTGATGGATATATGATAAAATTAAAAGATTATTTACAACTTATAAATTTTCAATTGGAAAAATAACTGTTTTAAATGATATTAAAACAAATTTAAATTCTTCTGTTATTTAGCCTATTATAAAACTATTTTAATTGTTTATGTATAAAATTCTAGATTAGTATTATTAGTTTATATATATACTTATTGGATCAAAGTCTATTTTTTAACCCAAAGTCTGATTTAATATTTTAGAATCAAGTAATATTTTAAATTGGTTATCAAATGTCATTATAGCAATTTAATTTGTATCTAATAAAAGAACTAAAGCATTAGATAGTAGCTAAAATTACCTAAATGAATTAGTTTAAAGAGTTGTATTGTTTACTAATTATAATTGTCCATTATATTAGTAAAGTTAAATAATATTTTAACTAAAACTTAAACACACTAAAAAGTAAAGTTATTGATCTAAAACAACAAAAGTTATTTCAATTTGTATAACACTACTATTAAAATTAGATATTTCTGTTGAGCTAATTGGTAAATTTTATCCTATATAATATAGATCTAGATTTTGATTATTTATTGCAACAATAAAAAAGCAACTTAACTCTAAACTTTAGCATTCTTAGAATAAATTAACAGAAAAAGCCTTGACCATATAATAGTTCTAATCTGATTATAAAGATTAATTAAGCTTTCTTAAGGTAGAATCATTAAAATTACCTAGGCTTGGATTGCTTACTAGAGTTAACACTTTTACAAGTGGTCCTGAAACAAAATTGATCCAATATATAAAAGGATATTATAATAAATTAAAATATGATTATTATGGTTGTTGGAATATAAAATAGACATTGTTATCTAATTTTGGGACTTAAAGATAATGAATCATAGTCTGACATTTCCTTATTATAAATTTATCATTTATATCTAAAGCATGAATAGAAAATGAACCATTATTTTAATTAGATCCAAATATTAAAGTAGGCACCAAAAGAGTATAGATTTCAATATATTTTCCAAAAATGTATAATTTTTAAGTTTATTGATCAAAGTAGACTACAGAATTACTTTGATTTAAATTAAAGCTTCTAATTATAATTTGATTAAATCGTTTATTATTCATAATAATAATTTTATGATGATCTTCAATGATTATGAATTGTTAACTAATAAATAGTTAAGCATTTTGATCTATTATCTTTACAAATTATTAAGACTCTAATAACTATATCTACACTGAATCACTATAAAAGATAACTATCAAATACATATAATCTTAATCATCATCTAAAATTATTAAAAATATTTGATCAAATTGATAATATTCAACTTCTGAATAATAGTATGCCATATTAAAAATTTTTTGATTCAATAATATATTGGTGACATACAAAAGAGTTCCCTATTATGATAACACATATGTTTTAATTTCATTTAATAATTAAATAAATATTGTTTAATTTGTACTTTCCCTTTGTGAAACAACAAAATTATATGCCAATTCTTATTAATTATATGTACTTATTAAGTAGTTCTATTATTCGTAAAATATGGTCAAATTCATTATTATTTAATTTAAAGTACTGTAAAACTACCCATATATAAAATATAGAGATTTGTTATTTATAATTGAACTAAGTTTAGTATTATTTGGAATAGAACTGCTAGAAGTGTAAATTTAAATAAGCATTTCATTCTTTAAAGAATAGAAAATTAGTGTTTCATTTTAATAACAATCTAAAATTATATTATTTATTCCTCTATATGTAACACTTAAGCATAACAAGTTTGAATCAATTTTAATTACTTTTTTCAAAGTTAGACTTCCATTTAATTTCAAATATATATTTAAAGAAGGTTCTGTAGTCAAGGTAAATATTTGATCTTAAAAAGATGTTACATATGTAAATATATAATCTAGCTTAAAGTAATAACTTACCATTTTCAATTGATTATTTATGATTCATAGCATTCACAATTCTGACATCTTATGGACATTGAGAACATTAATAAATTAAGTTATTACCTTAAAATAACTTTTCCATAGGTATTTCTAATATTTCTCCTTTTGTAGGGTAGAGATAATAATCCTCATTTAAGACTTCGCAAGTCCTAATAATGAAAATGAAAACAAAAATTATCATATTTTCTAATAATTAAATTCAAAATCTTCAAAAAATCAAGGATTATATATATTATATTATTATTTTTTTGTACTTTTTTTCAGAGATTATTTTTAAGTTATAGACATGAATGATAACACTATAGGTCTTTTAAGTATATATGATTTAGCTAAGTTATCTTTTTGTTTCCAAATTATCGATAGTTTTTTTTTGTAATAAATATATATATATTTTTATGAAGTAATAAAAAAATTGATTTTACATACTTGTTATCATCATATATGTATATACACAACCATTATATTTGAATATTAATATGGTTTTTGATCCTCATAATTCTAACTAGAATTTATATTTTATATTATAAATTTCTTTTTTAGTGAAAAACTTTAATAAAATAAAATTAATAAGGTAGGTTTTATATACTTAAATCATATAATTTTATTATTTAAACTATAACTATTTTTGCTTTTACAATAAACTAAACATTTAATATTAATTAAGAGAAATTTTCTTAAAATTTTTTAAAATCTTTGAATACCTGCTTAATTAATAATTTTATTTAATTATAAATATAATATAAAATTTATAATTCATAAATTTATAAATTTTTTACTTAATAAGATGTTAGAAGATAGTGATTTTTTAAAATGAATTATTTGTTTTAATCTCATAATTCAATAATGAACTAAATGTATTCAGACAATTAATATTTAATTTATTTATGAATTTCATGTTATAATAAATTCATCTAAATTCACTTAACCTTAAAGAATCTTCTCTTTCATCTTGAAAATTATCTAAATATTGAATAAAAATGAGAATTTATTTGTAATTTCTTTTAGGTTAAGAATTTTCTTTTTTAGGGAATTCAAAAAACATATTAGAAATTTTATTCAAAAGTTGTTTTAATATGGTTTATACTTTTCAACTAGAAATAGATAGGCAGTAAATATGATCAAGTGAATCTTAAAATAAAATTTTACTTTTTTAGATGATTTATAATGTTTCTAATTCAATATTTATTGAAAAATTAGAAAAATTTGTTTGAATAACATCGTATTTATATGACAAGGATCTTTGAAACAAATTTTTAGATTAGAAATTCAAACAACTACCATATCACAACTTTAATTGAAATAATTAATATTAATTAAGCTATATATTACAATTTGTAATTATTGTTAATGGAAAGTAATTAATTAATGAAATTTATAAAAAATTTAATACTATTTATTATATTCTTTGCTTAAGCATAGGAAGATTGGATAACTGTTTTCAATTAATTTACAGGTTCATATTGGGATGATTCAGGTTATTAACATTTTAAAATTAGGTTGGTTTTTCTATAAAGTATATGGTGGAGCATTTAGCCAATGCGGGGATACAAAGTTATTTGGAGGATTTGCAATTTTCGTATTGGGTACATTAATTTCTTCAAAATTTACACTTCCACCTCATTATTCATTAAGAATATCATTTGATTTATGGAAGTATTATTTATTGATATTTAGGGTTGATAGTTTGGGAAGGCGAGATTTTGAAAATAGTATTTGATAGTGAAATTAATTAAAGATTATTTTTTTTAACTGATGGAAAATAAATTTGTGGCGAAATGATTTCTATTTCTTTAGAAGATCATTTTCCAATTAGTATTACTATACCAAAACACAATTCCTAAAATTTAGTTGTCATAATGACTTCAACTTTGGATTAAATTGTTACAGATGTATAAAAATTAAATACTTTGGGGAATTAGATTAAACATCATAATGCTACTTTTGGATAAATGTTGAATCATATTGGAATAGCTAAATTAATTCTGAAGGATGGATGATTAATGGAAATTAACCACTTACTTCAAGTTTATGCAATTTTATGTAGATTGCAGGTGGGTTTGGTATTCTATATAAAGTTTACAGAATAGAGAAAATCATAGAACCTTTACATAGGTGAATGGTAAAAAGAATTATTTACTTTGGAGATTGATGATGAACTGAAATATTCCATCCTAATTACTTCTGACAATTTTATTTATAGTTAATGTTCAGCACAAAAAATAAGGATCACTAATTATTTAATGTGATTAGGAACAATATAAATTTTCAAATTAATGTTACCATCAAAATAATGTATTAATTTACCAGGCAACATTTCTTCGAGAGTAACAAGATGAAAAAGAATTAATAATAAGTATCTTTTAAACAAAATTATAAATTGCTTAAATATGCTTTGTTTAGTTTTTTAAGGTTTTAATTAATATTTAAATATAGAATAATTAATATTTAAATATAGAATCAATTGAAGAAACCAAAAGTGAATTATTAATTTTATAAATTGAAATTTGAATCATGAGATTATTTATTCAAACATTATAAATTAAATAGTTGATTCTAAAAAAGAGGCCTTTCTTTTGAAAAATAATTATTTCTATTCTATGATTAATAATTAATTAGATCTATTTGAAGTATAATGATACTTTACTTAATTTAATATTAAAATAATAAAATTTTATGAAAATATTTAAAAAAATTCTATTTATTCTAATATGATTAATTATTTACCTATTTATGCAAAATTTAATATGTTGATCAAATTTGTTTAAATAAATTAATAAAATAAATGGATTCTATTGTTTTTATTTTATAATGGATTGACAATTACAATTTAGATTAGATCTGTATTTTTTTAATTAACTAAAAGTAAATAATCATTTCTAAATATTTCATAATTTTAAGTAGTGATTATGACGGAAATTGAAATTTGATTATTTCTAAGAAGTCAATTGATAATTTTTTTTTAATAGAATTCAATATCAATTAAACAATATTTATTTGAATTACAAAATTATATTAAATACCCATTAAAAATAAAAACAAATTTGAAAATGAGTGTTCAATTTTATAATTACTTAGGTAGTATAGAGGTCATCTTTATCTTTATCTTAAATTTTAATTCAATAAATTTATATTTCATTTCTTCATCTACCTCTTTCTACTCTATATATAACTTTTCTATTTTACTCTAAAAGATAATAATTTATAGAATTTTAAAGTAAATGTATTTATTAACATCCATTTCTTTAACTAAATCTTAGTAAACATAAATTATAATTTTTTTTTTCTTTAAATAAATCCAAAAGTAAGACAAAAAGGAGTAAAAAATTTTAAAATATAAACTTTTTTGCCCTAAATGATCTAATTAATTTATTATTAACAAAAAAGAATTTTAATGAGTTTAAGAGTGGTGATTTGATAAACAAATAATTTACAACTATTAAAAAATATAAGAAATTATAAGAATGCAAAAAAAGATCAGGTTTTTTGAAATATATTCTTAGCCTAAACACTATATTTTTGTCTAGATATAGAATACTAGTAAATTTTGGAATTAAATAATTTGCTTAAGTTTAGTATGTGATTCCTTTATAAAAATGTTAGGTAGTAATTTAAAATTAAGGATAAATATTAAAAAAAAAAAGTTTAAATTTAAATTTTATTAATTGTTTTATAAATTAGTAATTTTGTTTTTATAAAATAAAATAATAATCTTCTTATTTGATAAATTCCTAAAATGAGAATTAATTAATTTAGCAATTTTAAGATAAAATTCTAGGGTTAATTATAACACCTAGAAGTGAAACTAATGATAAACAACAACAATTAATTTAGAGTGAATATTTACTTGAATTTGATTCAGTTGATTATGATAAAACAAGATTCTTAAATATGCATATCTTCATATAAATTTATAATAATTATTTCAATATTTTAGCTTACCTCCTTAACTTTTGTATTACTAATTTGTGTCTAGTATAATGAATTATTCAAGATGATTCATTTTATTATTAATTTCTTTTTTTTATAATTTTTCTTACTTTCTTTTATGTTTTTGTAATGTTTTATTTATGCATTCTATTAAATCAATGATCAAATTGGAGATAAGCATAAGAGTAAAAAGTGCAATATGAATCCATCCATAATATAATTGCTAATTATAACTGAGTTGAAAACTATAAATCAAAAATGACCCTGAAATAAGAAAAAAAAAAAACTCTTTTGATATTAGTTTAGCTTCTTCATATTTAGATTTTAGAGGTCTAAATTTAATTAAGTATAATAGATAGAAAAATGAGGACATAGAGAGTAAAATTGATTATATTTCTGGATAATTAAGTGCCTCAACTATCATAAATATATAAACCATAATTCTGTAAATCTAGAATGATTTTTAATTGAAAGCCCAAAATTAAGGTTAAGAATCTTAATAAAAATATTTCCATTTTAGTCTATCTTTTATTTTAATTTATGTAATTGACAGTAATTATAAACTGATAAATAAAATTAAAATTAAACAAAATATTGCATTGATGCTATTAAAAGTCATAAATATAGAATTAAAGCTATAATTTGGAAATTACAACAAGGCACTAAAAAATAATTGATGCAATATAGCAAAATAGACTTTAGGTAAACCAAACGATATATATTCTTTTCTAAATTTAGCACAAAAATTTTGTATTTTCTTTTGGAAAAATAGAATAAAACGAAGGTATTTTTCATTTTATTAATTTTTCTTAAATAATTTTATTTGAATTTATAATATTTTTTAAGATATTAATAGGGTACAAATCAAATATGTTAGTAATGAAACTAAAATTGATAAATAACAACCTTTAGCATTCAATAGGTAAAATTAATTTAATGGATTTAATTGAGTCTAATTTGATTTCTTTGAATTTTGAAAAGGTAGGGTACCTCCATTTAAATATTTAAATAATTCATCAATCTTTAAATGATCCAAAAGAGGTTTTAAAGATATACTCAAATGAATATTATTAAATAAATAAACATTTCTAATATATTTTTGACAAAAGGATTTAGAAATAAATCAATAATTTAATTCAATTAGATTATATTTTAGAATATGTGTTCAAAAATTATATTAAATGAGGTGGGAAATCATATTACATATATCTTATATAAGATAAAGATTATAAAAGATCGATTAAATTAAAAAACATGATAGCATTTCCAGTAAGAAATGCTAATCCAGATATACTAATCATTGAATACATAATTGCATCGTTGAGAAGGACAATTTATGTCAATTTTTGTTAATTTTATTATGAAAGTATAAAAGGATTTCCAAGTTTTAATTACATCTAATATCTAATTAAATCTAAATCAAATTCATTTTTGATAAGTGATTAAGCAAATTCTATCTATAGATAAGCATCTTCTACAGGTTCTAAAAATTCAACTATAATTTAATATATTGGATATTCAAATTCAGTTGATAGACTTGTTATATTAAGTATATTTATATTAATGCGAGTTTATGGAATAATTGAAATTATTGCAATTTCTTCAAAATTTAAATCAGTTGGTATTTTAACTTTTTATGTAAAACTTAATTCAATAAGTTAAGTTTGATTTTATTAATTTGAGAGAAGATTTAATCTAAAATCTGGAGATTAAATAAATGAACATATACTAGAAGAATTTATATAGTGTTTGCACAAATATGAATCCTCTTGAATACAAATGAATGAGCATCCATCTCCTCCAAGTTGATTACCATCATCACATTATTCATATTATTCATTAAGTATACCATTTCCACATTAATTAATACATTCATAACTTATTAATAATTAATTATAATTGCATCTGATATCTTGGAGTAATAGTATTTATTCCAAATTATCATAATCATATTAATCTCCATAATTATTAATTTAATAGCAAATACCTGTTTTTTTATTTAATATTTAATTTGAATCTTTACAAGATGTACAAAATTTACTATTTTTTTCACATGTCTAACATTAATTAGAACAAGGGATACATGTCTAATCATGATAATAGAATTCATCAAAACACTTAACACAATTAGTTGAATCAATACAATATTCACAATTTTAGATGCATTATATACATTTCCCTTGATCATCAATAATATAATTATCAGAACATGTTTTACAGGTTTAAATATCAACACATTATAAACATGGGATTTGACATTTTAAACATTAAGTATTTTATAAATAATATTAATCTATACACTCGGTACATTCAAATTGTGAATTACATTTACTACAATTCTAATTACATTATTCACAATGAAAATCAATATAATAATATCCTTCTTTACATATACATTATCCTTCAACAAGATTATATTCATCTTAACAAGATGTGCAAAAATCTTAATAACAAGTTAGACAAGGTAATTAGCATTATAAACAATTCTTATAAATATCTGTATAATAACCTGGTTTACAATAACAATCATTTAATTATAATACATGATTAGGGTCAGAACATGATAAGCATTTATTAGATTATTCTGAACAAGTAGAACACTATGATGAACATTTTAAACAATCAGTTCCAATATCAAAATAACCTTACTTACATACACATTTGTTATTTTCAAGTTTGAATCTATTATTATCAATACAAGAGAGACAAGTGTTTGTACTACTTGAGCAATCAAGACAAGGATATTAACAGAGTGAGCAATTGATATTATTAACTCCTGAAGTGCCATATCCATATTTACATACACATTTATTACTGATTAATTCATGATTTGGATCTAAACATTCAAGACAGTGATCATTTTATATTTTGCATTTCATGCATGGAATTTAACATATTTAACAAGTATTATTTATTTCAAAATATCCATCATTACATATACATAAATTGTTGATTTGAGTCTAATTAATATCAATGCATGTTAAACAATGATCTTAATTTATTTCGCATGTTTAACATGGCATTACACATTATTAACAATTAAAGCCTACTTAAAAATACCCCTATTTACAAATACAATTTTATGAAGAATTTATTAATTAATTAGAATCTATACATGTTAAACATCCATTAATGTCACATTAGGCACATGGTTATATACAGATTGCACATGTATTAATAGTATTTGAATAGTAAGTTTCCTTACATATGCATTGAAAAAATGCATTAATTTAATGATTAGGATCTGTGCAACTATCACAATGAGTATCATTTATTGAACAAGTGGAACAAGGATATTAACAAGGAATACAATTATAGTTATTATCATTTATATAACCACGATTACAAATGCATTATCCATTAGATATATAATGTTCTACATCTTTACATTCAGTACAATAATTTGTACTTCCTAAACATTATAGACAAGGATTTAGACAAGCTTGACAATTTACTCCATTCATCAAAAAACCAGAATTGCATTTACATTAATTTAATGCATCAACAGTTTAATTAATATTATCTATACATGTTAAACAATGATTTATTGTTATTTAACATGTAGCACATGGATGTTAACATTAATCGCATAAATATGTTGAAGTATTCATAATGTATCCATCCGCACAATTACAATGAGGAGGTGTTTAATTTATAGTATCAACACAAGTATTACAAATGTTTCCATTCGTTAAACAATTTGCACATGGTTTTGTACATGGACTACACGAGTTACTATTTAACCAATAATTATCATTGCATTATGTGCAGACAGTTGATGAAGTACAATCAATGCACGATTAAATGCATGAATAACAAAGACTACCACTTAAATAATAACCTGGATTACATTTAATACAAATAGAAATTACGCACTATTAACAATTAGTCTAACAACAATAGGCTAGAATATTTTAAAAATTACTTGAATAGATTATTCTTTTGAATATTAATAAAACAAGAATGCTATTATATCTCATTTTGTTGTGGATATTGAAAAAGTTCTAATTTTTGAATTTATTATATAGACTTTTAATTGAAATCTATGAGAAATATGTATAAAATTTTATATATTATTTATGAATTTATGATGTCATTATTAAATGTTGCAATATGATAGAAGGAGAAGATAATGAAATCATATATATATGAAAATGAGTTTGAATTTTAAAAACTATTCCCTATTATTATATATAGATTTTTTAAATCAACAATAATTAATCTGAATAAATTATAAACTTTATATATATATAAGATTAATAAAATGAATTATTCAAGAAAACATTATTGCTTCAAATCTTTATTAAATAAAATTGATATTCAAGTTTATTTATTTCTTGTAAAACTAATATTTGTTTTTTAAAGTTGANCCTGAAAATTTAGATATATAGACTTTATGTTTTTTGCTCAATTTATTTTGTAATAAATGCAAAAATTCTAAAGCTTCTTCTCTCATTCCCAAAACGCTCATTGACGAAATAAATCTTTAGATTCTATTTAAATTATGAGTATAAGTAAAAAGACACTAATCAAATTATGTCTCATCAATTATCTCTAATTATTATCTTTCATTTCTAATAATTCCAAGAAATCTAAGAAACATTCCAACATTTTATTTGTATACTTTCATAATCTTAATATACATAAAAAAGTACTTCAGGATCTTGCAAAAATTTATTCCTCTCTTAGGGTGTTAATCTGTAGCTATTCATATTTAAAAATGATTAAAAGAAATTAGGATATAACCATTGCATATATTATTTGTCTGATTCAAGATCAGAGTAAAATTTAGTCAATTAATGATTTTGGGGATTATTCATCCAATGTTTTTGATGAAAACTCACTGAAGGATGCAAATTAATTGGATAGTCCCCTTTATAAAAGTCAATATTAGGAAATTCTCTTATTTTGGCTTTCAAAACTGCTCTACTTGCTGGTTGAGGATCCCCATCACTTGATGTACATTACCCCATTTTATAAATTATCAAATATACAATTACTTCAATTATTTATTAATCATAATAAAGAGCATATGGATAAATTCAACAAAAAAAATCAAGAATTGAGTAATTGGAATTTGAAATATATTCAAACAATTTATTGAAGAAAAATTATCTAAAAATCTTATTTCTTGCTTAAAATATAAAATATTTAATCTAATACTATAAATCTAATTCAAAAACAATAAAATAAGTAATAATTATAGACAGTTCTTATAGCTATGCTTGAAATCGAGTTGAATAAAACGTCCAGTTGATTAGAGAATATCTAAAATTTTGAAAATAAGTATTGAATTAAATAGATATATTATATAAATAATATATATAGATTTTTTAAATCAACAATAATTAATCTGAATAAATTATAAACTTTATATATATAATTATTATACTATAAAAAATATAAGATTAATAAAATGAATTATTCAAGAAAACATTATTGCTTCAAATCTTTATTAAATAAAATTGATATTCAAGTTTATTTATTTCTTGTAAAACTAATATTTGTTTTTTAAAGTTGATTTTTGGGATATATCAAAATTCTTGAAATAAATTTGAATTTAGCAATTAGTAATCTTGAGTATATTAAATTTTATTTTATCAGCTATCTTTTATCATTTTCATGAAGTTTATTACTTTCCTTTACTATATAAACCTTAAATAAAATCTATAAGTGTATTATTTAATTTGTACATAATTTCATAATATCAGATGAACATGTTAAACACCCTATTGTTACTGCATTTTATAATAAAGTGCTAGTCTGAGACACTTATTTACATATTAGTAGCTACGCTAATGGTAAATTTTAGATTTTACTTTTAAGATGGTATAAAAACAATTATATTAACTGTTGGGAATCATATTGCCAATCAAAATGGATTTTTGGAGGTTATGATTGTTTTGACTATCGAACTTTCATTCAAAAAACATTTCAGCTCCAACCACATTATTAATTAAGATTTAGATTTTTGTTTTGGAGGTTTAATATTTAGAAATAATTATAGAATACACAATTGGGCTGGATATCGATTTAAAGTTTATATAGATAATATTTAAAAGCATAATTAATAATATTATCATAATTAAATTTTAAATAATCTTTGTGGAAACCCATCTTATTATTATGAAACTTTTCAACTGGATTTATATGCTTATCATTATAGCCCAACTGTTTAAATATTAATATCAGGTGAATAAGTTTGGGGAATTTCAGATATTTAATTATTCATAGAAAAATGCCCAATAGGTTGCCATTCTTGTAACTAGAATGGATGTTACAATTAAATATTATATATAGAATATTTTACGGCTAGATAATTGAATGTTAATATAAATGATGGATGGTCATCTGGCGATGTGGGATTCTAAGATGGTTTGGTGAATGCTGGAGGTATTGTTACAATTTATTCTAGATTTTTAATTTTATAGATTACTCCATTGGTCCTAAAGTAAAAAAATATATCTAACACCTCATGATGCTGTTAGTATTTAATTTAAAATAATAACTTTAAATTATTATCATTAATTTGAAATATTAATTGATGATGTCTTAGTAATTGATTTAAATACAGCAAAGTAAGTATCTCTACCCTAGGTTAATTCCTACAATTATTATTAAGACTTAATCACTAGTCAAATCAATATTCATGAATATATGCATAACTTAAATTTGATTACTTTAACAATTAGATTGAAAACTAATTAATAATATGTAACAGATTATTATTCTTATTTTGGAATTAGAGATATTTAATTATTTCTTAAAACATATGATAATTGTTTTGATAATAATATATAACCATTTGATGGATGCTTTGCTAAAATTTATGACTGTGTTATAGGTTGTTCAAATTGTGTAAGAGGTGAATGTTTGAAATGTTAAGAAGGATGGCAATATAAGATATAGAATAAGAATTGTATACCGATATGTGATGATTCAATAATTAATTATTTTGAAGAATGTGATGATGGTAACACATATCAATATGATGGATGTTATTAATGTAAATATTCTTGTCCTTTGGATTGTAGTGAATGTTAATTTGGTAAATGCATATAATGTTCATTAAAATACGAATTAATAAATGGTAAATGTTAATATATTTGTAATGGTTATGAGAATTAGGAAGATTAAGAAAATAGAAATTGTTTTAATAGAATAAATAATTTGATTGAGAATGGTCATTACTAACATAATCTATTTAATAATGAAAATTCTAAATATACTTTAGTCAGTAGTTTAACATGTAATCTATAAGATTTTGGAATTTTTGGATATTTTTATAATTAATGCATAATACCAGCAATACAACATTGTAAAATCAGTTTTATTAATAAATGTCTATAATGTGAAGAAAATTATTAATTAGAAAATAATAAATTGAAATGTATTACTATTTGTAATGATGGAATTGTAATAGAATTAGAATAAGAATAATGTGATGATTTAAACAATATATAGTTTGATGGATGTTATAAATGCTAATATAGTTGCTAATTGGAATGTTTAAATTGTGTTAAAAATAAATGTTATTAATGTTTTGATGGTTGGAAGCTTATTGATTATAGTTGTTATCAATATTGTGGAGATGGTTAAGTAGCTGTATCTTCAATCGAACAATGTGATGATGGAAATTATGATAGTGGAGATGGATGTTTTGAATGCAAATATCAATGTATTTAATATTGTAACACTTGTATAGATAAAAATACATGTTATATTTGTGAAAAATACTACGAATTATATAATAATTAATGTAGACCAATATGTGGAGATGAACATATTGTTATTGGATTAGAAGAATGTGAAGATGGAAATGATATTCCTTATGATGGTTGTTTTAATTGTTAATTTTAGTGTGAAGAAGGATGTTAAACTTGCACTTTTGGAATATGTTTAGAGTGCATTAAAGGATATACAAATATAAAGGATAAATGTGAAGTTGAAAATTACACTCATAATTTTGATGAAGAGGAATAAGAAGTGTCGAATAAATGTGGAGATGCTATTTATACTGATAATGAAAAATGTGATGATGGTAATGAATTTGATGGAGATGGTTGTTCTAGTTTATGTCTAATTGAACCAAACTGGTTTTGTAATAATTATCCTAGATAATCAAGTTTTTGTTCATATAATACTGCTTTTAAATTGTAATATCTTAATTAAACTTAATAAATTTAATACATTTAATTATCATTTACTAATAAAGTTAAATTAAATGAAACTATTTTGAATTTTACTAATTCAATTCATCCATCTATTCCATCTATTTAATAAGATATATACATTATTACTATAATTCCTGTAATTGAAATTGATTAAACTATTTTACTTGATGTTATTTATATTTTTTAAATTCAAATTTTGGAATCTATTTCAACTAAATTTTATTTAGCTGTAGAAATTAATGCTAATTTAGAAGACTAATATAAAAATAAAGTAAATACTACTCAATAAACTATCAATTTATAACTCCCAAAAATCTTAAACTAGAATTAATTACAAACAGCCAATAAATTTTAAGCTCTGGGTAATTGGATGATGATAGGATTAGCTAGTAGTAGTTTCTTTCTTATATTAACTGGAAATCCTAGTTAATGTATGGAAATTTTAGATACTTTATAATTTCAATCATATCTAAAATACATAAATGTGGATTTTCCATTAAATGTTTTAATATATTTTGAATCATCAGAAATTGTAACTATTAATCCAGTATTGATTAAATTAAAAATTACTGATTTTTTTTACTAATTAATAGGTGATCAATATGTTGAGAGTATTGGAAAACTTTCTGAATATCAATTAAACGCTGATTTATTAGTTAATATCTATGGTTAATTTACTTAAATTGGATTCCTGATAATATTGTACATATTTATAAAATACTTTACTAAATTTGTCTACACTAATTGCTTTGGCAATAAATTTATCTATTATATTAGACTCATGAATAATAAAATTATTTAAATTATTGGGATTAAATTTTATTATCTCAATAAAAGTATTTGTAAAATAAATGATATATTTAATAAAAAAGGTTTACTTCAATTGGTCCATGCTAATAGTTGGGATCTAATATTTAAAGTTCTATTGTATTTAGCTTCTAATTCTAAGCTAGGAAAAAGAGAAATAATTTCTACTATTCTTTCTATTGGATACTTAGTATCCTTAATAATTATTATAAGTTAAAATTGCAAAAGAAATAATCATAAAATTATATTGAGGGATTTAAGAAATAAATAGCATGATGATATTATTTTAATTAAAAAATTCTTATTTTTAATAGTTCTTATTATCATGTAAAGTTGCCCACTTATATAATGTATATTACTTACATGCATATTATTTTGGTATCTTGGATAAATAATTAATATTGATTTTACTACAAATAAACTTGATTTATTCATCATTATTTGGATGGAAGCACCAGTAATGGTCTTTACATTATCTTGTATGATATATTGCTCTGACTTTTAAAATTATTTATAATCAGATTAATAAATATTGTTTGGATTTGCTTAAATTGGTTTTTTGGTATTAGCTTTAGCATCTCCCTTAGTTAGGTGTGGATATTAGTTTTTCTGTAAAGTTAAATCATATTATTTGAAAAATAGAAAGAAGATGGATCCAATTTATCTTGATGTTAAAAATATATTTTAGATAGTTGAAAACAATAACAATAAGTGATTAAAATAAAGTATAATTTGTTATTTATTAAATCAATTTGATAATTTTAATTTTAACTTTTTTTTATATTATTATCTTTAATTATCGAATCTTTTATTGTAAACAATTTGATTAAGTTTAGCTATCTTTTATAAATAAATTAAAACATTTATACTTATTGAACCATTTTTATGACAAAATGTAGCTTTCGATTTTTAAGGGTAATGTATTTATAATTAATGAAACATTAGTTTCATAAGATACTTTAGTTGTGGAATAGTGTACTGATGTAATCTATCACTATTTAAAATAATTAATTGAAAAATTGGGGATTGTTTGGATCAGTTGGATAAATAATATCTTAAAATTTTATTACACCAATCTTTTAATTACATATTTATTTTATATTTTATACAAGTAAAAATAATTGGATCCCCCCAAGTTAAGTATCGCTAAATAAATTAGGATATTAGGATATTTTCTAGTTTCTTTTAAAAGGATTATTTTAAATACCTAAATAATTATGATATATTAGATATATTTCTATTGAAATCTTAATTTTTTATAGTCGTCCTTGCATAGAAAATTTGATTATTTACTTTTATTTAAACTAATTTCCGTTGATTCTTATCGTATTCTTCGAAATTCAATTAAAAAACTTGAGAATTAGAACCCTTCAAATTTTCAATTCAAGACTTTTTCATAAAATAAGGAAAATTAATAGTATGCGATATTTCTTCTTCCAAATATTTTATTGCAATACACCTAAATCTTTCAGAAATTAATTATGAAAGTCTAATGTGATTTTTTTTCTTTTCTAATTTGCTTTTCGTAACTGCTTTTGATTTCATTAATTAGATTACATAAACTGTAATTTTTATTAGTTATCCCTTTCTAAATTTCATTTTGTAATTATTTAACATTAATCATAAAAATAAATTAGACTAAAAAGATTTTTAATCATGTTTATAAAAAGGACGAATTATGTTAATGCAAGCTTATTCCTACTTTTCTAAACAATTTTTTAAGTTATAGATTTAATGTTTATAGATTATCTATTTTATTCAAAATGATAATGATGGTGTTAAAGATTATATATGTGTATATTAAATTAATTCGTAATTGATTGATGAATACTTAAATTTATTAACCATACAACCAACTATAAGCTTATGTATGATTAAAAATGCAACATATTGATTTATGATAAAACTGTCTTTTCATCACTTCTTAAGATTAAAAGTTTTGGATAAAAGTAAGAAACAGAAATCAATAAATATGTAAGCGATTGAAGAATGAAAAAAATTATTAGTATTCAGAGAAAGATATAAAAAGTAAATCTCAAAATAGCCAAGGCTTGCAGTTAATTCAGTTCTTATCCTTTAATTGGTCAAAAGAAAATTTTTATTCTGCCCTGAATTCTTTTTATCAAATTTTATTCTTCTATAATATCATTTAAATAATTATGTCAATTTGAACTTTAAATCTATAAATAAGGCTGTTTATATTTTATTATTTTTGTTCTATCTTAATTTTTCTAAAATTTTATCACTAGTGGAAATTGTATTAATTTATTCGAACTACAGATTATTCAATTATTTATTTATAAGAATAAATGGTTTTGAAATATTTATACTCCATATTTTCACATCCACAAAATTTTTATTTCTGTTTTAAATTTTACATAAATTATTTATGCACTATCAAAATAAACCCTAAAAACAGGCTATTATTCCACTAAAATAGATATCAGATTGATGTTGAGTTTTAGGTTTCGATTTCTGAAGACCAAATTCTTTATTATTATTAGTAATAATAAAACAGAAATCAATTATGCTACTGAAGACGGATAAATAATGAGAATGTAATATAAATTATTTAAATTTAGCGATTACAATAAAGACCCCTAAGGGACTCCACAAATCCTATATAATTTAGAATAAATCAAATATCTTTAATGGGTTGGGTAGTATGGGGAGAATCTTAAAAAAGTTGGAGATTGGATGGCCATTTGGAAAGGTCAAAAATTAAAGAATGTAGGGGGTAAGTACTATACTCAGAAGAAGGAAAAAAAATAGGGTTTTGGGTAGAATTACCAAGTAATTATATGGAGTAAGAGTTAATTTTATAATAATAATTTATAGATAAATACCAGTATATAAAGTTGGAGAGTATGTTGATGATTAAAGGAGAGGAAAATGGAAATATTTATATAAGGATTATGAAGTGTATTAATTTTTTACATTTTCTTATGTAGAGGAGGTGGAAATTATGAATAAAAAGGAATAAAAAACGAAGATTGGATTGAGTTGAGTAAATCTTTTTAAACGTAAATTTGATATATAAAAACATAAATAAGTTATAAATAAGTCATTAATAATGGAAAATATAAAAATGGTAAAAAAATTGGTATGTGGGTTGAATGTTTGAGGATGAATGGGTAAAAATCCTTTAAAGTGATGTATGGATTATAAATAGTTATTATTTAGTGGAGAAGGGTATTATGATAATGAGGGTAAAGAGCTAAAAATTGGTAGCTGGGTAGAATTAATTGATTTAGGAATGTAAATGAATGATTAGAAATTAAAGTCTAAAAAAAAGCTAAATAACATTTAATGGATAATATAATAATGGTTAGAAAATTGGTAGATGGAATATATTGAGTAGTGATAAATTTTATGATTTAAAGAAAAAAATGTAATTAATATAATCTATTTTAATTTTAGTGGTGGTGGATGGTATGATGAAAGAGGATTGAAAAATGGAAAATTGGTTGAATTTGATGATCATTCTGATAGTTATAAAATCATTAATTACTGTTTAAACACTAAAAGTTAAATCACTTATTGTGGTAAATATAAAAATGGATAAAAAGTTGGTTTATGGAATTTATATTGGAATGATGGTAAAGAATAAGAGTTGATGTAATTATAATTATACTTATTAATTAAGTGGAGGTGGATGTTATGAAATAAAGTAAGGAGGACTTAAGAATGGAAAATGGATTGAAACAAGTGATAATTTTGAAAAGTACAAGATTCATAATTAAATTAATTTTAGATTTCAATAAATCACTTATAATGGTGTTTACAAAGATGGTAAAAAAATTGGTAAATGGGATATTTTTTGGAGAGAATTACTAGAAAATGATTTTCATTTGATGTAAAATGATTAACCATTAAATATTAGAGGTGGTGGGTCTTATAATGAAATAGAATTAGGAAAGAAGGAAGGAAAATGGAAAGAGTTGAGTGTAACTTTTTCAAAGTATATGATTTTGTCTTATTATTCAGACAATGTTAAATTATTTTTGATGGTGAATATAAAAATAATTAAAAAATTGGTAGATGGAATACATATTTTAGAAGAAAAGAGGAATAGGATAACTTGATGTAAATAATAAATGTATTAATGCAAGTGGTGGTGGAGATTATAACTATGAGAATGGATTAAAATAGGGAAAATGGATTGATTTATTTGATAATTTTAGAGAGTAAAGAAATATTGTATTAGTTAGAGATTGTTTAGTGACTTATAATGGAGAATATAAAAATGGATAAAGAGTAGGAAAATGGGATATCTATTATCGAGAAACTTTAGGTGAAAATTAAGAATAGATGTAAGAAATTATTAAGTAACTTAAATAAAGAGGAGGAGGCTCATATGACCTAAAAGAAGGAGGCATTAAAAATGGAATATGGATTGAATTGAGTGAAACTTTTTAGAAGTATGTGATTTTAATAATATTTAGTTAGAGTTAGGTTATTTATCAAGGTGAGTATTAAAATGGGATAAAAGTTGGAAAATGGGAGGAGAAAAAGAGAGATTTTTATGCATTTAGTAAAAGTTTTCTCAAAAGGTATTATTAATTTAAATACTATAGAAAGGAAAACGATTATGAATATTGAATTCATGAAAATGAACATATAATAAAATAAATATCAACATTTTTTTTTATTGTATTTTCTACTAAAAATATGTTATTTTATTTAAATTACTAAACAGCTTAGAAAATACATTTAATAAATTTATGATTATAAATAGGTTATGCTGTCTATTACACTTATTTATAATTGATTCTTATTAACATTTCAAGTTGAAAGAGCAATAAAATAATATTCGATTATATATACACTATAATTTTTTATCAGTAATCAATATTTACTATGTATGGGAGTCAATTATTTAGTTTAATTGATAAAATTCAAAGCAAAATCATTTTTAGAAGAGAGTTCCAATCTATTATAACTGTTGATATTCTTATATTTGATGATTCTTCTGTCTAAAATATTCACTCCAAAAGTGAATCATGGATAATAATTACCAAAATGCAAGCTTGATGAATAATAAGATTAGGAAAATATTGGAAATAAAAATATATATTTATATATGATTATTCAATATATACAATGGATTAATAAACAGAAAAAGTAAATTAATAAAATATATTAAGAAAGTTACAATTTATTATAAATCTCAGATATTCATTTAAAATATTTTTTGATTTATCTCTTACCCTAAAACATAATTACTTAATGCTTTTTTTATCAAAAGAATTTTCTGTTTAAAAATATTTTAAATTTCTGATTAAATGCAAAAATTAAATCTAGTTTGAAAACTACAAGAAAATATTTTACAAAAAGAATAATATTTATAAATTAAGAATTTATTGTGGCATCATCAATGGGAGGAATATCATATAGATACTAATAGATATCAGAATTTCAATCTTAATCAAAAGCTGAAATTAATTTGATAGCATTTAATGAAGACTTTTCGATTCTCTTTTTTCTTTAAGAAAAAACTATGTTATTAGTATGCCAATATAGATAAAATGTCATCCATATTATATAAAGAATGCTAATAAGCAAATTATCAAAATATATGTTATATATAGATCAACCCCTATAAAAATTATCACATTTCTTAATGTATTAGAATTTATTAATGTACAATACTTTAACAACCTCAGGAATTTATATTGTATCTCTTAATAACATAAACTAAAGTAAATATTTAAGGTTATTTTAAATTAAAAATGAATAAAATAATAGATTTAAGTGCATCAATAGTTTTATATTAAACAAATATCAAAATCTATTAGTATTGGGAGTATCTTAAAAGACCATATAATTTTGGAAGTTTAATAATTAATGGGAGATGGTCCAAGATTTCATATTTGATTATATAGAAGATTCTGTAATAGAGAATATGTGTTTTAATTAATAAGAAACTTAATTAGCTTGTTAATTTTCATAATGTGAGAAAATCCTAGTTATATATTAGTATAATGATATCAATCGATTATGGTTTCTTAAATAAGCAATTTAGATGGGACGTATTGAATAATATTACTTAATAAATGAAAATCAGCTTTTAATTTCTGAAAAAATATCAGAATGTTATGGGCTAACTTCAAAACCAGTCTTTCGATCATATGTTTAACAAAAAAATAATTAATTTGAAATTAAAACACATCTTGATGAATATATTACTCTTTTATGTTATTCTGAAAGGGCATCTCTACTATTAGGATACAATTCAAAAGATTTCATATTTCTAAAATTAAAAGATAATGGCGACATTATTGTCTAATAGAGGTTACCATTTCCTGGAAGACATTAATCTATAAAAATAACTCCAGATTTAAAATATTTCGTAATTTGTTATGATAATATAATCAAAATTTTTAAGTTATTTTAGAAATGAAAAATATCATAATAATTTTGCTTTAATCTAATCTATCTTCCAAATAAACCCAAAATACATTTTACATCTCAGCATTATATTACTTTTTTATAATTTCAATTTATTAATTCTTCAATGATGCTCATTTAATAAGGAATTGTAAAGTCTAAATGATTATTATTCCAAATATAATATATATTTAAGTGATCTTAGGGATATAATAATTTTATTAAATATGAATTAGACTGATCCAATAATGTCTTGAATGAATAGGAAAAAATTTAGTAGAATATTAAAATGTTGTATTAATTTTCTTATTTGTTTTGAGTAAAAATA